CATTTTTGCGTAAATTCACAACTCCTGCTGAAATGGATCGTATGCAAAACTGGACCCACATGGTTTCTATAGAGGTAATCTCAGACGTAAGGGACTTCTCGAAACTGTTTAGTCCCATTCACCGTGCTTCTGGTCAGCTGAAAAGTTAACCAGCGGGGTGGACTGAGCGCTCCAGTTCATCCCTTAATCGCACACTCGATCGTTTAATGTTGAATAGATTTAGTACAGCACCATCGTACGCCGTTGACTCAACTCCAAAGCCAACCTCAACTGGCTGAACCAATCGGTATCTTTAGGACAACCACGGCATTCTTGCAGAAGTATCCAAGGTGTACATCCCCGCACTTCACTAACCCTTTTACGCCTTTTAACTTGGAGTTTCACGGAAAGTTTAAAGATTATCGTGGATAAAATTAATGGTTGTTGCAGGTGGATTCTAGTTATACTGGTCCTGTGCCGCTCACTGGGGTGTGAGATCAAAAGTAATGACCCGACCAAGGAGTCTTCAGACCCGTAAGGGACTATGCCGACCAAGCATTCACTCTTTGTCGAGCCCTTGGGAATTACCGTGCCTCAGAATCTAGTACGAATTCTTTCATCTGTCGGTTTGTTGTCTCACTGTAAGTTGTTTCACATCCCTCCACAGTAACTGTGCCATTATATGCCTTGTCACAAAGATAACCTTAGGATCTGGGACCTTCTTCAACTGTTGATTCTGTTAAACGACGGATGGAAAGATCGGTAGCTCGGGTGCGTCCACTGGTGGAGGATCAAGTGACTATGGCTCCTCTAGTTTGCCAATTAGCTTATAAAGATTCCGTCCCGAATCGGGAGATCTCACCAATTCAGCGGTGAGTTAATACTCCTTCCTTCTTACGTTCATGTAGTCCCCAAGGGATGCTTCATATCTTTTCGTGTAATTGGCTAAAACCGTTGTCCAACAAACCAATGGAATACGGGGAGAACAACGCAGCCAACTTAAACATCTCAGTAAGGTTGCAGGAAAAGTATGTGTAAGTGTGTGTATGTGTGTGCATGTAAGGAGGAAATACCGCTCACTGCTGATAGCTCTTCGAATGAGGACGATGACTGTATAAGCTAATTGCTAAGCTCGATGGGCAGGAAAACAGGCGACTAATCAATCACCAATTGTGTTAAGCACTTGCTATATGTTGCTTTATGTATAGTTTAGCTGTGTTAAAACTTGACCAAATCTACCGGACCCATTCTATCCATAGCACTGACCAATTGTTCGTGTATACTACTTTGGACCGATATGCTTACTAGTGCTAGATGTCTATTCGACGAGGTAAATCCAGCATCCGGTACACTCAGCAGCCACCCCCCAATGACCTTCTTCGTCTGCATCGAAAATGGTCTATATGGCAATTTGTGGGATCAACTAACGAACACTGTAGTTTACCCCATAAGCATTTCTTTGTTGTATGCAATTAGTGAATCGGTTTTCTCTTAACCAGGAGTTCCCATAACGACCATTCTCCGATGGGGGTGACTGGGTCTGGCTTGTGTGATCTCAATTCGACAGACCACTGTACATTATCCTCCCGGACAGTTTATCCTCCTAACCGTAGTTACCACACCAGGCTGTTTATTGATCCGAAACAATTTCAGTTCTGCGCACGATTATTTTTGCTATCCAGACGTACACGAACGGCTCACGGATTCTCTGCTGTGTGATATCTTCCATCAATGTGCTTTTGATGCTTTCGAACCTCGGTCGACACAGATTTTCAAACGTTGAGTCCAGCTCCATGAGGTCCACAACCATTGGCTTGCCATACCGAAGAGCACCTAACAGAGAGATGCGTAGTCTGAAATAAAAGCACATGAAGTTAGTTTTGGATAGCAGTTGGAGTTTTCGTCTTACCTTATGTTAAGTAACTCCAGATTCCTACCGTTGAATCTAGGATCTACATCAGAGTGTGATGGATTCCCACTTCATTCCCAACCTGTTTGTATTTATTCACAACAGGTTTCATATACTGTTATGCTTCTCTTGGTAGACTCTTTCAAAACGAAACATTTAAGCTCTAGACCGAGTGCATTAGTCCTAAGTTCTTGGTTATGCAAAGTAACTCACAAAAATCAATAAAACTGAACCACATCATTCCAGTTCTTCGGAAAATGGCTCTCTTTCCAGAGATTCAGAAGTGAATTACTTTGCGTATCGAAATATCACCTACGGAGTCGATTTCTCATTAGTCCTAAGTTCTTGGTTATGCAAAGTAACTCACAAAAATCAATAAAACTGAACCACATCATTCCAGTTCTTCGGAAAATGGCTCTCTTTCCAGAGATTCAGAAGTGAATTACTTTGCGTATCGAAATATCACCTACGGAGTCGATTTCTATATGTGTAGGAAGTGCAGACTGGTTCTTCTATGCCCACTGCTCACGAAAACTTATTTCGTATCAACGCGCAAAAGCACTGTGGAACTCGACAGCTGATATGCTTTTTAGCTAAAACGTCCTAATTTATAATTCGGAATCTACGTCTATGACAACAAAATCAGGAGGAAGTCGCCTCTCATCATCATCTCTGTTCCAACTCGTGATTAGTTATCTACCAATGCATTCGTCATCAATTGTAACCAACTAAAAGACCCGACGTCTTTCTAGCTACCATAGTTTCTGTGACTGAACACCTTTTTAAACGTTTCATCAACTGATCACTGTTGTCGTAAACAGAAGGCTGAAGCCACAGGACCATTTACATGTACATATAAACTATCCCAGGAGGGCAATAACAGTATTTTTGGGCATTGAATTTAGTTGTTGTTGAATGCCTGATTCCGAGAATACTGTGCTATGAGTACTGTCTCGAAAGTGGCCCAATTATATCGGTCAAACAATTGAACTTACTTTTCTGGTTCCAGCTGCCGTGGGTTTAGTATATTCACATAGTTTGTATCTCGGTAACGTAGAAACGTTGACGCTCTGTCTGAAGGATCTACGACCAGCGGCCACCTCATAGAATCAAACTTCTGGGTAGTCAAACAACCTACTTTCTTGCCATTCCCAAACGATTACCGACGTCCCTGAAGAGGATGTCATCCAAGTCTTTCAGGGAGCACACGATCCCAGGTCTGTCGTCTTCGCTGTTTTTTCGTTTGTCTTTGCGAAATAACAAAGCGGAAGCCATTAATGTAGCAAACCATTATTCAGGGGGTCCTGGTGGTCTCGGATAAACGTAGGGGTTGGGGCAATTGCCACAACATAATGGTATCGCAACCAGCTACTGCCTCTGATGATGATAATGGCGATTGTCACGCATATTCGAACAACTCGCCCACGATCAGCGAATGATGAAGGAATTTACCAGATATACTGCTTTCCGATAAGAAACGTGACTCAAATGCTTACTAGGCTCCCCGTTAGGGAAATATTTCTAGTACTCTGTATCGACTTAATACACTACTCATAGGGTTGCTGAAAATTCTTCCACCTTTGGGGCCCTTCTTAGGGCTCATCAGGTAGGCGCGGTCCCCAAGTTTCCATCATCCTTATATTCTACTTGAGCCTGAATTGCACGGAATTACTTAAATACACTCATTTGCATACCAATTTGGTTTTGACGAGAGACTCACCTGGAACCCAGCTGAATCTCTCGTGCATACGAGGTTATGCACCTCCAAATACTCATTCAGAAAACTTGGGTAAAATGACGACCGGAGAGCAAATGACTGATTAGTAGCCGTATTTAGCAGCATCTCCAGCCAAGCATGGAGAGGGTCAAGCGGACTATCTTGAGTGACGGGTTGTACCAATAGCAATCAAATTTTTCGTAATCGCATTCAGAATTCTCTATATGATCAAAATTAGGCGCCACTCGGACTTAGGCAGGGAAAACAATGTTCTTTTGGGAATTACATGCGTACGGGTCATCTAGATGGCAGCCAATTAGCGCACTGAAGATACCTACGCGTGTTGGAACCATGTCGGTCGTAATGGCAACCTGAAGAACACCGGACTTTTTTCGTTAAAACGGCAACCTTCCGTTTTTTCGGGCTTTTTCTTGTTCTCGGCATTCTTCACAGTTTTAACCTTTCTCTGTTCAATCCTTGGCTCGTTGGTTTTGCAACATATGGTCAGTTAAAAAAATGAGTGACACAAAGTAATCAAAGAGGATCCCTATCAATAGACAGTTCGGTTCATCATCAGCCTCCTGTACGTACCTTCATTACCCTCCTGTTGTGTGGGCATTGACCGAACGGGAAAAGTTACACCTTTCAACAGATATCCTTTCTAAGAGAGATCATCCTCCTGGAAGCATTCCTCTATAGCTTTGATTTCAGGTGTGATTTCTTCTGAAATAAACAATTCTGGATGGAACTTGTGTCTCCTTTTCAGTGGCGTTCTATCTTAATTGCTCACTGTGCACCTATTATAATGGGTGATGTGACGAGCTGGTTCTGTGAATGGATACGAATGTACAACTACCAGGTTGTAAGTAAGTAAACTAGTTGAAGATCCACAGCTGGGAACGTTGGAGTTAATTTCGAAGGTAGAGTACGATTTTGCAAATACGATTGACAAAACCTTGATTCATTCAACTGGCAGACAGTTCCGGTGCATTAGGTGATGATGCGTGGGAACATTGTTCTGTTCTCTAATGTGGTGACGACTCCAACGTAGAATCATACTTCTATATTTTCTCATTACTACCTCCGTGTTACTCCAATCCATCGACCCCCTGCGGTTTCCAAAAGGGGCCTAACACTCTCTTGAGAAGCATCTCACCAGAGGTGTGAGATACTGCTAGGGTGTTTCGTTTATCGGAGGTGGATTACCAAAGACAATATCAGCCTTGAGCCTGATTACACCTTGCGTAAGCAGAAATGGAGCACGAACGAAACCACTCACCTTTACGTTGTTCATCTCTCAGATCCAACCTTGCCTGTTGAAGTTTTTCTCGTGCTTTGCCCAGTTCGACTTTGGTCGACTCAACATGGAGCTCGGCATCATGGATAATCTGGAATAAATATTGCTTGCGGGATTTATACCACTACAATGGCTGCACGTTTAAGACCTAGGAAAGTACGCCATCATCATCATCATCCACAACGTGATAGCAGTGTTCAACACCGATGCTTCACTGCCGTACAACCATGAAAGTGCGTGAAAATCCGTGGAAAACAAAACAACCGAAAAGGATGTCCTCCATTCCTTCAAACTGAGATAGTTTTAGCGCTCATAATGAAATGTTCATCAATCTCATAGTTCATCCATTTAATTCGATGTCCTCCACTGACCCTCATACAATTAAACTACTCCACAGTACGCCCTCTCCGGTGATAACCCCACCCCTACCCGCAATGGACTACCTTGAGCCTGTCACGTATTTTGAAGCAACGGCCAAAATGACTACCCTTGGTCATTGGCTGCACAGTTCATCCAACAAAACTAACCAATTTTCATACACTTCATGAAATTTTCTTCTGAGCTGCTCAATATAGAGGCCAAGGCAAATGGGCATATGATCAACTTGACTCATTCCAGTTGTTGCTAGATTCCAGTTTAGGCAACTGAAGTGAATGAAGCAGGAGAATATATACCACGCGATGGCGGCCGACTGATTGCCAACATTTTTACTAAGAACCATGTACAGATTTGTATGTGATTCCTATCAGTTCTGATCTGCCAAGGCTTTTCCTTTTTGCCTTTGCTGGCACATACATTTAACTAGTTCTCTCCGATTACGTTGACTGGTACTTCAATACGACTCGTCGTTAGGAGCATGCGCATACCACAACGAAATAAGTTGAGCAGCTTACGAAGTGTGGGAACGTTAATGAGGCTAAGCGACAAGATAAAACAATACATATTGGCGAGTAGATTAACGCAGGGAACAAACAACCTGGTTTACGAGGACAGATTGAATAGACTGACTTCAGTCGAGGCGTGAAGTGAACTCATCCTGTTTCAAATGGTTAAGGACGGTCTCAGTGGAATTTTCCCTGCAACCGAGGTGAAGTTATGCCGGAAAACCCAGAAGCGCTGTACAGCTGTTTCATCTTTGCTGGGGAGCATCATCGTTGTGCACCGTACACACCCCCATAGCGATTCACACCCACGACCTGCCAACCAGTGGGCATTTCACAAGAAGTCGCTTGAGCGGGCATTAAATGCGTGACACTAAGCGTGTGGATGAAGGATAGCGGCGCTGTATATCGTTAAGTCGACCGCTTTGGTGACACAAAGCATGACCAGCTGGTTCAGTGTTCGGCTGAGCTGTACAGGTCGTGTGTGCGTTTTGTCCGAGAAGCGATCTCTGGAAGGGACCAGTCAACTCCAGATCAGGCGAGTCGGACTATACACCGGAAACAAGGTAAGTCAATTACAAATACAAATCGTTGACACGGTTGACCAGCAGCCGTAGCCGAAGCGGAAGGTCAATAATTCGAATCTTTACAGGGCTTTATAAGATACGTACGACTGATGTTTCCCAACAATGCGGTTAGAGCCGTACAGTGCTTCCGTGGCATTCAGCGTAAAATGATCCGACTTGCGAAGTGAATGCCTGAACCTTCAGTCTCTTCACTACTTAAAAAATTTCAGCCTTCTGAACAGAAAGAAAAAGACTTCAATTCACATGGGGAATGGAAACCGGTTATTCCTAGATGGTCGATTTGTCTACCATTAGTTGCTTCGTCGCAAACACACCGTTATGGATGAAATGGGAATACTTTCAAAGTTGTACATGTAACAGTGCAAGTACCGTCATTATATTTTCGAAAAAGGGCACCACTCATACCTGCTCCAACAAGCTAAGATTTTCATATCCGTTGACTTTGGCCGTTTCGTACTCCAGAATCCGTTGGTTCAGCACTTCATATGCTTTACATACCTGTGTTTTAAAATAAGTGGGAAGCAACATATGCGAAAACCACTTAACACAATAATGCTTACTGAAAGGTGGTCACTCTCGTTCATTGTTTCGCTTTGCCTACACTTATGCTGACAAACTTTGTCACAGTCCACAAAACCATCCTTAGGCGAGGTTGAAATGGCTAAACCTCTAGCTCACCCACACAGACTGACGGAAGGTTTAAACGAAGTTCAAGAGGAACCATCAAATGAACCGAAACAGAAGAACTAGACTCTAGGCTGGACCCAAACACATGTAGGATTCCCCACCGACCCAACACTTTTTCAACCACTCTAACACACTAAAATCCCTCGGCCGACACTCAACAGAGATTTAGCTTGACCTAGCTGATTGGTTCTCCTTCCGCCTTAAATCTCGACCAACCTCGGAACCTAGTCACTTGGCTCGATGAAGCTTTTGTGTCAAAAGCGAAAAGCTGCCCAGCAGTAAATCTACCTATTGTCACCAACTATTTCGAAAACCTCCAAAGACTTTTTTCTGTACGCATATTTTGTATCTTTTGTCGTTTATGTTGAAAGGTATATTGATTGGATGACAATTCCTTTTACAGAAGGCCACCTCACAATAAGTGGGTTGTCGTTGGGAAAACCACAAGCCTGTCAACCTGTTCCTGTCACTCAATCTATGACATTGATATAGCCACTCAGAGATGTAAACGAGTTAACCTCCCAACATGGCGGCAGACGGGAGCAGGTGTTCTGGTAACTCAACCGTGATTCCATACGCCGCCTGGTTCACAAGAGTTAGAAGAGGAAATCCTCAAAATGACTTTTCCGACAGGATTGTGATTATGTACACACATCGTCGATCAGGTAGAATTATATGGTGGTTGATTGGGCTCCAAAATTCTGGTTTACAAGACCTGAATGGGAAGAAGAAAACCAAGTGCATTTACTGCAAACCGAAAGGTAAACAGCTTTGAATGGGGGTACCAAACCATATCTCCCTGCCTAGCGCAAGAATACTCAACCGAGTGAGCCACGGTAGACACAGCTCCACACGTTACATATGTAGTTTATTTCACCTGCGTTTCATGAAATATCTACTTGATAGGTTGTCAGCTGAATATTCTCAACACTAAGAGTAAGCACGGTGTATGACATCCCCAGTGATCCGAGTGTTGATATCCAATTACGCCAAATGTGTTGGATTCCAACGGATGTAGCAGAAAAAAGGATTTTATTAATCATGCATTGAAGGACCAACAATGCGTGAAGAATCAGACTAGAACCACAATTACTGGAGGGGTAACTGGGCACTGAGGCCGTCTAGGATGCTACGCGGAGAATCACAACCGGAGTGCAGGTTAGGTTGCTGCCACCGACGGCGGGCATTCGTTCGCAGCATATTCACCTGAACTGTTCATTGAATGGTTACTGATATCTATTTTTCGTGATCTATGGATGACAAATGTTGGTCACGCGCCATTCAATGACCTTGATGAAAGCCCTATGAAATAACACTTTTCGAGGCAACATGTACCAGTCTGACCACATTAAATAATGTCCATTTGCTAAATGCTCTCTCTTCCTAGATGTGATTCACGATTTTACTGACTCTTCTCAGTTCAAATGACCGAAATTTCGAATCCGTTGGCTGAGTGAACGGGTGGTCCGTACGGTGTTATTCGGCATACCGCCCATATTCTTCTCAGCTGAGATAACCAGCCCGCGTAACTCGTCAGTGAAGACTGTTTCACTCATTAGGTTAAACTGTAAGATTTCTTTCCCATCAGTTACGAGTCCTGAACCTCGTAAGGTGGAGTTACCTGTCAGTTGCTCGCCATGGTGACATGATTACATGGGGGCAAGAGGGCTCAGTGGTTAGAGTGCGAATGTACTGACTGGAAGGTCCGTGGTTCGAACCCGACCTCTGCCTCTTGACTTCCTCTGTCTAGGCTTGGGTAACTTGGCAGTATCCCAGCCATCGTGCTTCCTTCGAAAGGCGCGGCAGCTAGGCACAGAAAGGGTGTTACAGCTGAAGGCTTATCTTATTATTATCATGGTGTCATTCAACTAGATTCGGTAGCTAAAGTACACGGTTTATGTGAAAAGTTCTTTTTACGAGTCTGGACCTGGATCCTTGTGCGCTCTTGTTCAGGTTCGCACAACCTTTAAGCTTCCATCACTCAGAAATCCTGCAGATGCTCAAAAGATTATAAAGTTGTATAACTATTCTGAGGGGCTTGTGTGCGTGTGTCACTCAGCTGTGATCCAGATGCTGAGTGCACATGTGTGCCACCTACGAAGAATTTGTTCATTAAAATTTGGAGAACAGTGAAGGAATAGTAAGGCACTGGAAGTATGGCTTAATCAATTAGCTTATGCTGTTGTTGTGCTCAGCTTTTGAAATAGGAAACTGATCAGTGTAGCTTATATTTGGGAAAACGGTTGAGCACCTAGGGGACGTAGGAATCACCCCTACGAACAAGAATTTGCCAGATGTTGGTAACTACTAGAATGGACTTCACTGATGATGATATTGTCCCACAGGGCGGTTTTCGGTTCTAAGAAATGATTGAGTCCATGGGATCAACAGCAAAAGGTGAGCTTTGAGGTGTTTCATTCTGATTCACCGATACGCTGCAGTTGTCTGAAGGAACTTTTACTGTCGTTCAACTTCGTTCTGTCAAATGTTTGTTCTGTACTCGGGAAGCACGACAGCGATTCCCACAAGTGAATTATCAGTAAACATGCGTACCCACCTTTTGCTGTACAATTTGATAGCTTTTCTCACACTGCTGCACGTTCCTTTTTAGTCTAAAAGCAATTAATGAGAAGAGAAATGGGCTGCTCACCTAGTTAGCATAGCTTGCGTCCCTCGAGATAACTGAGCTTCTTCTTGTTTGTGGTAGAGATTTATCTGTCGCAAAAGCATGTCCGTTTCGGATATGTCCCAGTTTTCCAGTAGATCATGGATCGCTACGTCGCTAGCAATCTAGAAATTTAAAATTATTGAAAGCGCTGCAAGTAGTTGGATAAAAGGGAAGCATCCGTCATCCATGTGATCATCACCGAGAAAAGAGTTCCAAGAAACCGGTGGCGTTTTGACAATTTGTTGTTTTGCTGCGGCTTGCCTTTGGGATGGATTACATCCTAAGGCACGCTAAAAAGTGATCGCTTCCTGTGAACTTTAGATAGATTGCACCGGTGAAATCCCTATGCTTATCCAACTACCTTAATATCAAAGTTGCTGCGGCTTGCCTTTGGGATGGGTTACATCCTAAGGGACGCTAAAAGTGATCGCTTCCTGTGAACTTTAGATAGATTGCACCGGTGAAATCCCTATGCTTATCCAACTACCTTAATATCAAAGTTTTTCATTATCTAAGGGTACCATACAAAGAAAAAGGAACCACGAAAAGCACTTGTGTTTAGATCCTTACAATGTACTGCACTTTATCACTTTCCGAGGCAGGCTGATCCGCACTGGATTTTTGATTAAAGTTATGGAGGAATGGACTAAAGACCAAAGACTACTCAATGCCTATCTAGAAAAAAAACGATACCGAGTGGTATCAATCAGCAGAACAGGTACGGATAGTCATTGCTCCCTTGGTCGTGACAAACCATCAGATCAATCCTGCTGAGTCGTTTGGGTGTGCCACTTAATCGTTCAGAAATCGCCCACCGGAACTTCCTGCAACAACCAGAGTATTCGTCACTTAACTTCACCAAACTCACATGAATTTGACCGAGTAGTCGGCGCTTCTATACCGCAACTTCCCTTTACAACTAGTCATCAGTTAACAGGTTATTGAAGATTACTGTTCTCGAACCCAGGTACAGTATTAGGATTTCATACGTGGGTCAAATGCATCAATTGGTCGGCAATGAATGGCGATTCACTGTGAGGTAAGATCAGTCAGTTACTTCACTGCAACCAGAGGCACGCTGGCTTTGTCGCTCCTCGTACCCAGGATGGATGATTCCCGAAGTGAATGTCAACATTTCCGAATACTCTGTCTGAGGTACAAGCTTGACAAGATGAAATCAAGTCTGAAAGTTTTAAAATCTGTTAATCGCTAATGAAATACACAGCTTTCCATGCAGAATAAAAACTGGCTGAACAAGTTTTACTAGCTGACAAAATAATGAGCTTTGGTTTACCACCGTCTGACCTTCGATATGCTAATTCTACAAAAATCGGTTCCACTTTTGCTATAAAAGTCACGTTTATCTTTGGGTTTCTTGAGAACTCGCGGCTAAGAATGACGGAAATTACTATGACTAAGTACCCCAAATGCGTTGTTATCAGTATGGCTACAGTACAGTTTTATTGATTATTGACTACCCGACTGAAATCAGTGTAGGAGCAAGCATATCAGATCTTCCGTTTATCTGAGAGGCTGAATGTTCCAATCCACGTTTGTGAAACGACAGCTGCATATTTCAAATTATTTCCTAAGGGGAAACAGGGTGTCAGGTTTGTGGAATATGCCGGATTGGCATTAGTTGACGGAGAAAGTCCCAAACTTCAATCTGGTTTGCGAGGAGAGAACGAGTTTGGACGTGCGGATGCACTGCATATCATCGGAACGCTTTAGAACGTCCCTAAATCCTATTTACAAACCGTTTAAGTTGATTGACTAAGCTGTTTTCGGAGCGCCCAGTTTATCACCATGTATACGACGATAGTATCAATGGTATCTCTTGTGCACATCTGTTGTGAGACAAGTTCGTTCATCGATTGATGGACTAGTTATTTAAATTTAACATTGAGAGCAGCCGGGTCCGTCAGTAGCTTGAAGAATACGTTAAGTTCGGGCGATTCTGGCCAGCCTATGAGTTTATCCCAATTGTTATCTTCACGAAATTCCCATTCCTGGCATCTGGGGCTTCTCTTTTCGAATAACAAAGGCTGGTTAGAGAAGCACAGTACATCTTCGAAATGGAGTTGTTGAGATTTGTTAATAAAGGTCACGAATTGGCGTAGTCTAAGACTTCTGCACCTAGAAGGTGTCCAGATGTTATTCGTCTGTGTCCAAAATTACTTCATTTAGATATTTGGAGATACCTTCATGAACTATCACGAACCTCTCGACGCAGCTGATAAAGATCAGGGGCTATGTCGATGATGTCTCAAGTGACGCCGATTGCGGTGTGCAAAGTCTCCATTCCCAATAACGAATCATGTACTATGGAATTTACCTCCATTCCCAAACATACGAATGGAAACATGAAACTGAACCACTGTTTGGCCATATCACATTCATCAAAATAGGTGCTTACTTGTCCAACTCCTTTTCCCCGTTGTAACACTCCCCCGTTCTATCTATTTTGACATAGTCAACCGTTCACTACTATTGTGTCCTTATGCTCACTCTGCTTACATGCTTACCCACAATTCCTCCAAAGCCAAAACAAATAGCAAATCGTCCATTAAGATTTTGCCCTCGTAGTGAAACCAACCTAGCTGAAAAGCATAGAAGCACTGAATAGCTGTTTCATATTTCAGTAGTACGAACCTCAAGATGGTTCCGGCTAACAGTTGAAAACCTAACTGTTCGGCAGCGCGAGGCTGACCAGTAGTATGAACTAACGTGCATTTAAACTGAATCAATCCCTTCAATCACGGAATACACACCACGTGATCACGTGTTGATGCTCATGTACCTTGCGCCTCAGCTGGCTGGAGCTGTAGATCTTCACTTCGATTTATGTACGTGAAAATCCTTCAATAACTCAAATAAACTTCATGAAGGGTATCTGGTTCCTGCCATCCTTTCCAGGATCGTGACTGACGACATACTGGCCTAGGCATTTGGAAGTATAAGACCAAATTAAGTGAGACTTCTTCAAGGCAGTATGCTAACCAGTACATGGTGTCCTTTGTCCTTCTGCACATCACATGCAAATACTGTTTTATTAAGGGAACGAACATCCAAAGTGCAAACATGTTAAGATACTCGGTCTGGCATAGCGCGACTCTTGAAAAAAGAAGTTTTTCCATTTTGAAAATGCGGTGATATCCAGCTTTAATACCATAAGTGAAATCTTCGGCGGACCAAGTGTGCAGTCGCAGCGCCCAACCGGCTGTACTGTTCAGATCAAATACATAATTCATAAATTCCACTTGCGATCACTACTCACTGTCGTTTGGGTTCTTCGCGGAATCAATATATACAAGCTCTCGGTCCTCAATCCTCAAAGTAGGAAGACCAGTGATGCACATACACCACCCTAGTAAGTTTAGTTATCGACTTCTGTTCGTTTGCTACTTATTTAGTAGCTCTCCCTCTCGATTTTAGAATCCCTGCCTTTTCTAATTGTTTGTGTTTGTTTATCTCAACAGCGGGACAGATCGTTTAACTTATGAACCTGGATAAATGCTAAGATAAATGCGAATAATCAAAGATCACCTGCGATCTATCTAGTTGACACATAATGCACTATGAAGTAAGTGACGGTATTCGATAGTCTGAAGTTTCGCGTTCATTGTAATAAAGCTGTGAAAACAAAAGTCGACGGCTTTATCCGCCGAAACATAAAAACAGACAAAAGAACTATGTTTGTATGATTCACTGATTCGTTCAATAGTTGCGAAATTTTCTAAGCGTCCTGTTCGTCTAGATATCGATAATATTCACCCCCTAAGACGTGAGTTCTCTGTTTAACGAACCCAAACTCGTCAATAAGACGTTCCAAGCCGCTCAGCTTACTATTTGTTGCACACTGTCAAAAACCTACCTCAATGGGTCTTTGTCCATCATCCGCGTACAACCTTGGGTCAGCACCGTGTTGTAACAATATCTTTAGAATGGATTTTGTCAGTACCGTTAGGAAACCAACTTGTGCTACGTCCAAGTGTCCTCCAAAGACGGCTCGATAAAGTGGTGTTCTGCCAAACTGACCTCTAGAATTCACATTGGCTCCGTGATCGATCAAAAATTTCACGGCCTCTGGAGAACCACCAACTACGACAGAAGACAATCAGATCAAAAAGATGCACCTACTGCATGCTTCTGAAAGAGCTGAATTCCGATTCGCATCTTCACACTCAATTAATTCCTTAATGTGACGTAATTTCGTCGCACGGCCAATGTCATCGTCACCAATTCCACTGTTTTCATCTTCATCAATAAGCTGCGTTAAATAAAATGAAGCAAAACTACAGAGAACAAACTTGCTGTAATATTGCTCTCATCTGAAACACTTTGCCTTCATAAGCACTCTCCAGCATGCACTTCTTACGGCGATTCGCCAATCGGACTCGTTCTTCTTCCTCTTGTTCTTTCAATCGCTTTCTCTCTTGTTCCTCGCGGTACTTCTGGACCATTTTTAAATACGCCTGTCTGCTTAGCTCTTCTACCTGTTCTTCGTACCTAATCTAGAATTTGAAAATATAAATAGATACGCACTAGTAGAACCTTTTCCATTTTCAGCTTTTTCAACTTTTGCTGGGCCAGATACCGCCTGACGTATTTTTGGACCATTACCGTGGCCTCGACCAAAACAGGATCAGCGGAGCTCTCGTCCCCGTCATCAGAAGCAATTGGAGATCTACGCTTCTCTGCAGCTGACAAAATAAGATGAAGTTCACAATAGTATATTGAACAGAAACACACTCAATTCTCCTCGCTTTGAACGATGAACTCTATTTTTGACCAGTCTCTCTAGACGGTCTACGAAACAAAATTGTACGATTCCGCAGCTGGGGTAAAAGGCCTGGAAAACTGAAAAGACGCAACACACAATCCAAAATAACTGTTCTTCTCTTCCTCAGATCGACGAAACATAAGCACAAATCTAGTTCTTTCAAAACAGGAGTTTATTTTCTGTTAAGTTTAGGTATTTCGCTGGCAATAAACAGGTGAACTTGTCGGGAGTATTTTCTTGTATCAAGAGAAGTAAGCCTCTTGATTACAAAGGCATTTCTTTTATGAAAGTACCCCTTGTTTGGTAAGGATATAAAAACAGAAAATTTCAAGTTAATGAACATGCAAAATAAACAGCTCTTATTCAAATGTCACTTTTCAAACCATATACTCGAGTATCAGGCATCTGAAGTTCAACTCCTTTTCCAGCCAAGAAAAACAGTTGATTAGTTCTAGTGGGAGTGAAACAAGTCCCGTGGTTCCCCGCCTTCCTTTGAACTACCCGAAGCAGTGTGTTGGGGGCAACTAAGCACAGTTTAGTCTGCTAAAAATGAATTGTGTAAGTAGTTGCAATGATTTGGGTCACCACAGTTGTCCTGGCAGTCTGCGACACCTATAATCGAAGAGGAAGGATCAAAGTTGTAGAGCTTTTCACGTATCTCTTATTACCTCCTGGCTGTACTTTCACAGTCGACGTAAATGCTCGAATCTATGGTGATCGGGTCACGTAAGCTGATTTTAGAACCCTATGGGTAGTGCAGGACGGAGAGATTGCAGAAAACAAGTACAAAACAGAAGCATAGTGGATTATCAATGAAGAAGAAGTGAACAGATAGCCTCGTCCGTGGTTCCTCGAAATTACGTTCTCAATGAGTACCTCCAACAACTGATGTGGTGAGTCTCCGATAACCCAACCTCGTGAACGCTACGCACCAGTTCAGTCAGTATTGTTTGTAATGTAGTTCATGCTTCACCTTTAAGTCATATGCCGTTCACCTTGTGGCATATTCTAGTGGAATCTGCAATAAAGACAGGGCAAGGGCTGTCGATCATCCGGTGTTGAAAGCACATGACCAAGCCAACGTAGTCACTACTGCAAAATCCACCTATTAATTAGATGAGCACCTTTTGTGTTAAAAGCCATCAGACTTACCTCAAAACGTAAAGTGATCCAAGTAACACTGGACACATTGCCATATTGCAAACCTGTCCTACAACGAAAAGTTAGTATCATGTCGACCCGTAATGTTGTTGAAGTTGGAAGAAAGTAGGATGGGCCATAGCAGTGCCACCATTCAACTCGTTAGTAATGGGTGTGCTGGCGAACTGTCGTTGAACAAGTACATGATGGGTCAGCCCATTGCGGGAGTATTGACGGATGCTGCCAACTTTATTCCTCCTAAAAAACGTTAATTTGTTTTTCCAATTAGTTCCTTATGTCTGAACAGCGGGAGGAAAGTTTCAGTCTCTCTGCAGGAGGCCTCTGACAGGGAATTCTGTCAGGTACTTTCCAGAGAAAAATGTCCAAGCGTTTTCTAATTGACTGCAGACACGATCTCTCTTTGGAGTCAGTTGTTCTCAAAGGAATTAATGCATTAGGTCTTTCAGTCCAGTACTTGGAGCTTTTGAGTTTTCACGAACACAGAATGTGTTGAAAGCCAGAAATTAGGCTTGAAACGATGCGCATGTATACAACATCAGCTGTGCTACGGATTTTTTTCGGACGTCCTGACAATGAATATCTTGCGGACGCACTAATTGGACGATAAGTAGGTGTTCAAACGGCCGTTGGCACCCACGCGTATTAGACGACTAACTAGTCAATCGATGCCCCTAATTCAAGTGATGTGAGATGACAACCGGGGCGCCTCGTTTACTGGATTTCGTCACTGTTTCCTCACCCAAGATTCTACTCGCAGTAAGTGCATTTGCGGTTGCCCAACTTCAAGCACGCCAGTTGGTGCGCGCCATTACCCTATTACCGGGTAAACAATTCATCGTGAATAACCCTGACAGAGTTGATGACGTTTTTACCGAAACCCGCTGCACAGGCAGTACACACAGTTCCAAGAAACTGGGGGTTAGTTAGCATCTGTGTCCCTTGTCCTGTGTACTAGACCGTACTTTTCACTGAGTAGAGTTTGAAATAAGCAATTCAGTGTCTATTCATTCGCAAAGAACTAGTGGATTGGAATGATAAGAAAAGTTAAGCGGATAGAGAGTTGAGTAAATTGTAAGGCATGTTGTTTGAATTAGAGTTGGGGGTTGGAAAGTGGATGCCTTTGCTGGTCTTGCACCGACAGTTAGCCAGTGAGTAGAAGATATTCTTTTTTCTCACCAGTTTCGGCAACGGAATGTACAAACTGGATCTTATCAATGGTGCATCTGGTGGTGTGTCAAATTTTGCAATTTTTTGTCGATTTTGTTCTTTCGGTTGGTTATTTACTTCATTCGAGGAACTTATTTGGATATACGGCTTAGAAAGTCGGGAGGGGATTTAACCTCAAGTGTCACGAAATCAGTTCATCTGAATATCGTCGAAACATAAGAATTCCTCATCTTTTGTACTCCAGGAAAACATCACAGAGAGATAAGGTTGTGTAAAATTTACGTATGTTGATACGACTGCCAGTAATGCGCTTCATCGTTTCTTGATCAGTTACCAAATGTATTCTTGCTATCACGGTTCCAAATGAAATATCAATCATGAGAAGGTGATTTGTGGTCAGAACCTGAGTACGCTACCTCAATGGGCATAAGAACTCACAACACAGAACCAATCTCCAATAAGGAATTTATCGTTGTTCATTGGTTTTAGATTGTACAAAGGTTATTGCTCCATAATTAACAAACAACTATAGTAATATTATCAACCTTTTGGTACTGTCACATCAGAATCTTCTTGTCATAAAAATCGGCATATGGCCGAAATAGAAATATTTTCGAAGAATCTTAGGCTAAAATCACACTGTTCCGGTTCCGTGGGCCAGAAAAAATTCACAGGCATGGAACGGCAAAGGCATCAGCCGCCATGGACGTGGTTTTAAGCTAACTCATTCAGATGACTCTAACTTCAAAGTTAAGTATGTCGCACATGGCTGAACTCCTGAGTCAAATGATCAATCGTGTCCTACAGAAATCGTTAAAGAACTCCAGGCAAACACAAATCACGGTCTATTCTACATTGTTATGCTTATATCAGCATTTAGATGAAGTTACAAATATATCTGGCATATTCTGCTTTGGTTATCTTCTTTTGCTAATAATTTCAAGCGTACTTAAAAAGTTACAAATATGTCTGGCATATTCCGCTTTGGTTATCCTCTTTTTGCTAATAATTTCAAGCGTACTTAAGTTCTGCACTATAAATCACTCGCCAAGTTGAACTCATCAACCGACCACACACCATGATATGTTTGCAAGTCCAGCAGAAGATGGTATTAGCTGCGTGCGTACATCATCAACTTTTCTTCATTTCACTTGAATACCCCCTCGTGTTCTTGAATAGCCTAGGATGACTGAGGATGGAGAATAAAGAGGGTCGTGGGTACAACCCTCTTTGATGTCACTCGTGCTCTTTCATCATGACTGCAAAATATACTAATAGTGAATCCAAATTTTAAAGTTCACTACGTTGTGGCGCCTCAAAAATGTTTAGTAACTACAGTTTGATAATGCAGCATAAAACGGGGTTATGAGTATACCTATATATCTCGCTGAATCTAACACCTCATAACCGCAATCATAGGAACAGACCACTTAAATTAATGACGTAATTGATTTTCTTATCACAAGTACCATGGATGGGTCAGTCAACGTGCGTTTCGATAAAGGTGATGCAGACTCAGAAGAGGCTGGAAGATGACAGTAAACAGTCAAAATCTTTTTGATCACAGAAGCTGGCCGTAATATCTAGACCTCATTAATGTTGACACCGTATGGTCGGACGGAAAATGACGCAATCCACCGTTGATTATACAGGCTAGACAGTTGTTAAAACACTCCCCTAATGAAGTAATGACAAAACTGAGGGAGGCAGATAGTTTTAGCGCTAACGCAGGAAGAATATGTAATGGACTTCGACATCCAAACAATAACGCAGTAATGATCAGGTGAATGTCATCCGAGGAGGCGAATCTTGCGTCAGCCCCGGTTTTCCGACAAACTTTGAGAACCACAGTCTTTGGATCTGCACCAAGCGCTGTATTTATCTCGTGATACTGGAAAAGTGCGCTGGCGGTGCATATCTGACTATTAATTGTACGTTCATTTCAGCACTGCATACAGCTCTTCTCCTCAGTGCTGAAATCTGTTGTCCTGGAATTAAAAAACAAGACTATTAAACTGCGCTATTGCGGTATAAATGCGGTTTCCTGAACTGTGACAACTTCATCATGAGTGATTCCCACCACAGATATGCTATCATCTCTGGTGAGGTAAGGTTCGTCCTACCTGTCGAGTGATATTCTGTGTGTTTTTTTCTTCCACGGCAGGTTATCTGAATCTGATTGAAAACCTCACTGATTTCTGACCAATTTATTTGTAGTGCTGAAGAGCCAAAAGACTCGTTGTTTGTATTATCCATGTTGAATGTTAACAAAAAAGCCAAAAGAAAGCGTATACACAATAACGTTAGTTCAGAAATGCCCACGTGAAACTAAAGTTGCTTGATTTTTTCATGGCCTTGTGCCGATCTTTCTGAAGTTTATACCTTTGTTGATCGTGGCCAGTATCTTTGACTTGAAAGGTGTGCCAGGCCTGAAACCATGTCGTAAGCTGCAAAAAATGCCAAGTTTATCCACTGAGGACAACAGTCGTACTCTGACTTGCATGCACTTGGCAAAAAATCAGTCACAAGCATTACAAAAGTAACTAGTTTCTTCATTGTTTTCAAATGACCATCTTCATGCTAGTACAGCTTGTGGTTCTATGAGGCATGATGAAAACAGTAAATAGCAGTAAACACCAATCAGGATTGATGCGCGACGATTTACAAAAAACTGCCGATAGTTTTGATTTGTGTTTTAATAACTTGACGTCCTTGCTGTCAAGGTAGACAGGCAGAACACTGTTGGTTGTCCTTTTGGTTTGTTATCCAAATTTTTAACTATGTCTTAGACCTGACAGATGAAAGATCTATCTAGATTACAAACCTCCGCTGTCTACAGAATACGGAGATTCCCTGGTCTAACGAGGTTCACTGATAATTTATACTTCACCGTCTAATTTAATAACGTATTTGATATATCCCATTTTTGTGCCAGAACACAATAACAACTCTATGTACCATACACGAACATTTTGCAGTTGTAAAACAACTTTCACTCTAGCAGACTCAGACAAAGTTTGAACAGAGTAAGCCTCAGCGCGGATGCTTGGGGCACTGAGCTTTTAGAATATCGTGCGAAATATCTTACTTTTACCTTGAGCAGATAAGGACGGCGTTGCAGAAAGTCAACCTCTCAAAATGTTGTGGAGTAAGGCATGGAGTGCTGTTATTCACTTTATTATTTTACTGAGATCTACAAATGCGGCGTCTACACGATGACCTTAGTCTACCTAATTGGTTATTTTTGCGTGCCATCAGAAAGTTTGTAACTTTAGACCTGCTAGACACTAAGTTGTGTTATTTTGGTGCAACATCCCAGGAATTTTCGACATCTTTCGTTGGTAAGTTGTTATCGGTTTTCATGCGTCTTAAGCGCTAACGATACTCTAGCACCAGATATGCAGTGGAGTATTTTCGGGTAGACAGCGGTGCAAATTCCTTGTGGTCCTCAACGACATGAGCCAGCCCATTCTTATAATCCGGTCTAATTGCAGGCCTTCGGATGCTAACAAAAGGCACTCTTCAACACAATGACAGCTTCTAAATTAGCCATTAAGCAGACAAGCAGCCCTTTCAAACCGAAAGTGATCACAGTGATCACTGAGTGTTGGCTAGTCAGGGTTGAACGTACGTCTAGCATGACACGTGCTTCGCTTAATGACGATCGGTTGTATCCATAATGGTGGTAACGCTATAGTGCAAACTTCGGGTTTTTAATCTCCTCTCACAGCCATGCCTTTGTCAAAACAATGACGTCAACCTTAATAACACAGATCTCCTCCTCACAAGTATCTCTCCCCCAGTAAATTGCTCACGTTTGAATGGGCGAATTCTAAGGTGGCTGTTGGGTTGCTCCGGCCGCGATAACAACCAACATGTGTGTAGTGTCCCACTTCACTACACAGAGCTAGTGAGTGCAGAATTTTCCCCTCAAAAATTAAGCCTTCGCTTGAGTAGGAATATTTCCTCGCTTGTCCCGGTCCTCAGGTATTGGAGGAGGGATTCATTGGCATGCACCATAATTAAAAAGGAGTACGCCTCCTCAGGAAAACCAAAGTCAACATCAGCGGTCTCTGGCGTGTCGTGGCTGTTATCTTTCTCCAGGTATGGATGGCTCTTAATACACTAACCCTCTTATACGTCGAGCAACCTTTCAACCACAGAATTTCATCTATAGATTAAACAGTTATTAAGTGGTTATAACCATGCTGGCATCACCCCGGCTCGTGCGATACATGCCGGAAACACGTCGTAAAACCCCTGTTCTGGGAGGCTCCGTCTTTCCCGATCACTCTCTATTCAACTCGATTGTCACCTCGGTGATAAATCCTATCACTAGTTTGACGGGATGATAGAAACTGTTAGTCAAATGCTCCGCGTTCCTCTGTGGTTTATTTCACTTTTGCTTAGTTTCTAACTATTTTTCTGGCGGGACTGAAACGTCCTTATACCTCACACTCGGGTGGTTTACGCTGCTCCATTTACAGAAGCGGCGTGGTTTTTCTCCATGGCACTCAAAAACTCCCCGGGATAAGAGTCTTTTCTTTTCACAGTACAGTATGCTTTAAACATCGTTCACTTGTATCAGTTACCACTGGCTGTCTATGCTTGTTCAGGTGCTTTCAAATGAAATGTTGCTTCTGCGGCTGCTGGAAAATAAAATAACGCCTGTCATTAGCCATGCTCGTTCTTAACTTCTGAGTACCACGATAGATACCTACCTTGTTCTTCAGGTTCACGTGGGACAATGTCCTGAACTTCCTGTGGACGGCTAGTTCGACAGTGCCTTGCGGGCATTGGGCAAGGATTTTCAAATTATCGCGGTTTCCGTAGACTCTAACCTTGAGCATCCAACAAGCCCAAGGCCTACGCACGCTTTCAGTTTTCGCAGATTCTCGGCTTCCCTTATTCGCGGATCCACGGATTGATAAACTGGATCTAGGCTTTTGCCCAAACTTCCACTTCCGGGCTTGTTCTTGTAGTTCAGCGGCTTTTGTTCACCTGAAAGGCATAGGCGAAAAAGGGTGAAACACTGCTCTTCAATTAGTCGGCGCGAGAACTCAAATAAGAAGACGTTCAGAAGGGCTTTGAACTGGGTACTAAATGCACCATGAACAACCCTCGGAGCATTGTTCCACCTATCAACTACCTGAAGTGAGAAAAACTTGAGCCTGATTAATGTGTGCACCCGAGCTTGAAAATCTTACCATGTCCCCACCGTGTGCTATTCAGGTTGAACCATCTTTAAAATCGAGGATATTCGTCACGCCAGATGGGTCTGGGGAGATTTCGAATTTGTACCGGGGATATCAAATTTTTGAATTTAGTTTATTAAAGATGGCCGGCCTCAGAATACGTTCCATTACCTTGCAAGGTAGGCTAATAAGGCCATTGGGCGTGGAGCAGTAGCCCTGGCGGTAGTCGGGCGACATTTTTTAGATTGGCCCGACAGTCGCTTCTTTTCAATCAGTAGGAGGGCTGCTTTCGTCGATCGATTGGCAGAACATCGGGTAAGATAACCCGCCAGTGTGAGCCACGTATCCTCCAGGATCCCTGGATGGACTATCCCAAGAAACCAAAGCGTTTAACGGGTCTGTCTTGCGCAGGCGTTAACGAATGTCCTGCTCCGTATAGACCAAGTTAGTTAGAGGCTTCTCATAGTTACGTCTTGACAAGACTATATGTGACAGGCTCGCTGGGGCAGAAAACAGGCCAACATAGTGCTCTCTGAGGGCTTCAGATAGTCACTTGTAGATTCTGTTTTTTGTCCATAAAGGAGAGGGCGGTAGGTTTATCTCTTCGGCTGCGGCTAATGCACCTAAATAACACTTTTTGCCTCTCCGGTGAGGCCTGATATCGTCTCCTGGTTTCGTATGATCCATTGGCGATGAGTTACATAGGCTCCGCATTTTTCGAAGTGCTGGCTCATCCTCTCTCATCCCGTTGATATCCTTTTGGGATAACGGATGGGACCTCTTCCTGAAGACGCTGAAAACGCTGACAACCAACAACTCACCGCCACGCACCACTAAGCTCACCAATAACGCACTGATTATGTCATCTCGACTGTTGATGAAACGTTGCAATCGAATTGTTTGGCTCAACCAACAATCCAACGACCACCTGCCCTACCTGAGCTACCCACATTTTCCTCCATAGAAAACGATGAATCCTTTTGAGGAGCCATTGGTCCGCCGACCGTGTGCGGCTTTATATGACGAACATTACGTCAGTCTGGTGAATTTTCTGTACCACGATCTTATATAACATACGCGTAAAATGGACACAGTTTAAATTGCCCAACGAAGCTACGCATTTCTTGGAAGTTTGGACGTCAGAAGTATCAAACCCGCGTTTGGTGTTCCGGATTTTCGACCCTGAAGCCGATGAAATCAAACGCCAGTACACGGTGGTTACTATGACGGCGCGCAGTAATCGCACAAATGCAATTGAAATTTCGAAGGCTACGAAGTGTCCCTGATGAACTGAAGCAAACTGGCAACTGAGTTCAGAGTACCAACCTAAAATTTAGAGCACCATTTAGGCATCCTGGGGTCTCAGCGATGCCTGGAGGTTATTCCGCCAGACTTTTCGCCAGAGGTGTTATTGCTTCAGTGACATCGGGATCTAGTGAGCTGAATAAATATGAGGATAGATTGGGACGGTTTTTAATCTGAGCGCATACACCACAAAATGTAACATTCTGAGGAGATAATTTTCACTTCACTAGTAAAGTTTTCTACAGCTAAGGGCATTGTGCGGTTAATGGGCCCTCACTCTGACCCAGTAGAGCTTTAATTAGCACTTGAGCAACGAAGATTTCCTGTTGGTGATAACTAATTCCAGAAAGGAAGGTAGTTGGCCTGCTCGGCGTCTCATAGGTATAAGGATATATTCAGTCCGGGGGTTCTGTTAAACGAATTTGGTCAGCGCTAATGCAGAATGTTCACCAGGTGTGAAGCGTTGGAGTCTTATCTAGGGTGCCTTTGGAGCAATAAACTCGCTCACCAGAATGAGGTGTGTGCACTGGTAGCTGGATGAGAGTAGCTTATGGGAAATAGTTCACCTTTTGGTGAACTTGTCGTGTAACATCGAAACACGCTGAGAAGAGAAAAGCATCATGCGTGGGATTGGAATCCAGAGTGAATCACAAGACATTTCAGGAGTGGGGGCAAACACTATAATCGATATAGACAGGGTAGCAAGTACGTATAAATTAACAATACCTACCCTCCAAGGTTTCGATTCAGCCCAGAAAATGGAACAGCCGTCTATGGAGACATCTGCTGAGAGCCAGGTTTCCGCGAACGCGAATATGAACGGGTGCTTAAGGCAAGCTTATTGCTTAATATCGCCATTTTGCTAAAATACTGAAGCAGTTTGTGTGTAATCACCTTAACACTATCCCTGCTGCATCAGGAGGTGGGAAGCCAGGAGTTTACTGCCGGAGAGGTTATTAGATTTAATAGCTGTGGGCCAAACCCCAGTTCCAAAGGGGACCGCGCAACCTAATCGTCTACTTTTTCAGTTGGTGTTTCCGAGAACTCCTCTGATTTTTCAGAACACTTTCCCCGCCATGAGACTTCGATTTGTGGATGCTTTTGTTAGGAGGGACGTTTTTACCCCCATGGATAAAAATTACAGTAGCTGCTACTTGTTGCTTGCGCAATACCAACTCTTGGATGATCGGATTTTTTTCACGAATGTGCGGCGAAGATTCGTGAATTTGGGTTTTTTGGGCTGTTCCACGCCGCCTGACTGGAGAAGAGTCTCAACCAGGCTATGTCGCGTCGATTGCGGTTTGGACAGCATTATCGAAGAGTATTTCTTTGGGTGGTATTCTAAAGAGGGTCGTCTCCACAGAGACATCCATCTTTAACTCAGCCAGCAGTCTTTCAATCGGCAGACCACAGTCAATTTCCTTTTGTGCATGGACCCCCAAGTGGCCTGCAATCAGCGTGGCCAACAAGGTGTTCGTAGGACTTTCCGGTGCATTGCTTTCAGGTTTGTAACTATGGCTATCAGGCTTACGGATGACGAATTTTTCCGCAGTCGGACAGCTCGCTGTTGATGGAATGGCTTTACAAGCAAAGCGTTTCACATTCCAGTAGTTGTGTGGTTTCAGCCGAAGTCTCCAGCTTTAAGGTCAACGCTAGTGGTTGATTTGAGGGTAGACTCAGCCGCTAGTCTCCGTACAGCTGACACAATCCAGATTATAACTAGTAAATTGGTGTGGAGATCAGACCTGCATCTTTTTTGTCTGATAACGAAATAAGCTATTGTAATTTTACATACGTTTGGAGATGCGTCCACGTGAGGCCTGCCGCCACACCAGCATCGAAGTTGTTGGTAGTCGTTGGTAGTCTTCAAACACCGCAGGAGGTGAAGCCCGGTGTTATTGTGATAAATATCTTTAGTGGCACTTCATTTATCGGTTTCGAAGGGTCATTTTAGCCCCCAATGTTCTTTTGCATCTGGGAGAAAAACTCATCTGTTGCTACCTCGGCTAAAGTAATTCAGAGTCCAGCATTCATTGTTTGCCAGAAGGAATTGATCCAGTCCCCCAACATGCATGTCAGAACCCCCTGGATAGTATTAGATCTCCGTCGGTGTTGCCAGTGCTCCGCAAAACACAATTTGGCTGTCTCACTTAGGAAGCAAATGACGAGATTTGCAGTTAAAAACAGGGACCACTGGATACCCGCGTTTCTTGCTGTGGACTATGCTTCATGTCTAGTTGGTGGAAAATTGTATGAAGGGCATGTTTGTGAATTGATAGAAACCGCGCATAGCTAATTAGTCAGAGACAAACCACGGTCAATCTAAAGAAGAGCTCCATTATCTCTCACATTTGGTGGGAAATCAGCCCATTAATTTTGGTGTTGGATGCCAATTCGTGTTTGTAGCTCCTTAGCCTCCCATTCATAGAGCACCACAGTGGATAACAATCATTGTGGCTTGATCGTCCAGTTTTTAGACTTTATTTGCAATCTTAAGCACTTCGAACATTTGGGCAACCAATCAAGTGCTAAATGTAGGCAATGTGCTTCTTTGGGTGAAAAAAATCATTCATCTCCAGATTGAGGTAGTCGATGTATATCAGACATTCCACGACGCGACCCAAGAAATTACTCAATGCAAAAAATAAACATTTCAGATTCAAGTACAGAGTTTTCAGGTTTGCTTGTCGGAAAAGAACGGTGTCATTGTTGATGTTGAATTCCCTACCCATCAGGAAACACCATGACTTCACAACTGTTTTACGAGTAGACGGTGTGGACGTTTATTGGAAACTTAAAAGAACACGAAAATCACATTCAGTGACACACAAGAGTCCGGTACGTTTTTCTATCCTTCATAACCACAAAATACGGAGCCTTCCTCATTAGAACCGGCGCGGTGATGGTAGAGGGATCAAAACGCCCTCAACGCCGTTGTAGCATCTTTTTGGCAAGATGCTTGAGAGCGCTTAGCAGATTGGGGCTAAACGAATGGATGTGGAGATCATATGACCCCTTTCACATCTGTCAAGGGCCTTCTGGGTTTTAGTAATAAGCAAAGTCTCTACAAATCATGGGTGATCCCTAAAAACCAATGTGGAAGCGTCTCATTACTGTCAATAACGGACTTTAGATCAAGCATCAGACCCTCTTGAGCATGTCCGTTTTGCGTCCGGACCGCAGATAGAAGAGAAGTCAAAACGATACAACTTGGTTAATCCAGCCTGTCACCAAATTTTAAACTGAAAGGCTTTTAGCTGGCCCACGGATATCCAACACAAGTGCTTGGCACTTAGCAATCAGATCCTTCCACAAGTTGGGACACATGAGTCAATCGGTTAACGAATTTC